TTCAAATCGTCCTAATGTTAAGACTAAGTAGCTAATTAACACTCAAATGTACTAAATTTTTTTTTTCTAAATCTCATTTTATTTTATTTTTTTAAAATAAATACATCAGACTCCCCTAACTCTACGTATTAATGATACTTTTTTTTCCCACTTAAAAAAAAAAAAAAAGAATGTTGCTTTTTAATTTTTTCTTCAATGGGAAGATATTTTTGATTGTTTGAAATAAGTAATTTTGGTAAAGAGAAAAGTGAAAATTAAGATATTCTCACACTTTAAATATCATAATTTTTTGTCAAATTGTTTAAATAGTCTTAATTTTTTTTTTTTGGTTGATTCATTAAAATTAGTCATTTTATTAATAATCTTAATATTTTAATTGTCAAAACAACTCGATTTTTTTCAATTTCTTTATGCTTTATTTATTTATTTTTCTTGCATAACTTTTACCTCATGCTCTAGTTTCAAGATAAAGAAAATAATTACAAATAAAAATTTAGTCGATTTAGTATTTATGAATTTTAAAAATTTTAGTTTAAAATAAGGCTTGAAATTCAAATCTTTATAATATTAAACAGTTAATCCTCTAATATACTTAAAAAATTTTATTTTAAATCATAAAAAAAACTATTACATAACCTAAATTATATCAAATTATACATTAAAGACCCTTAAAAGTGGAGCAACCCCGCACTTGACCCTGTGGCTCAATGGTTAGTGCCATTAAAAAAGTGCATATCCCCCTCCTCTATATGGGTTTTGAATCCGTCTTACGATAAAGCGTAAAAAAAAAAAAAAAAAAGAGGAGCAACCCCTTAATATTTGCGACACTCCCATTTAAAAGTTTCTATTTAACGGTACGGGCTACAAAACAATGGAACCTTAATTCATTCCTCATACCTCCTACTGAATAATTTCCATTTTAATTTTCTTTTGCATCTTTCAAATTGTCATCATGGGGGAAGTTGTATGCATCTTTACTTTTCTTCTGCATCTTTTGAATCAACATGGGAGGAAGGAATGCTACCATCATTTGGGAGCGTTTAAAGTTTCAATAGAACTCATGAGGATAGGACCGTAACAAAGCTAAAGAAAAACCAATATTAAGTTCGAGCTTCAAAAATAGGCTACAATTCACATATTCCAGATCAGATGTTGATGCATCAACGTTCATGAAATTAACAATGGATCTTTCAAAACAAATTCAAAAAAGATGGATCTTTTCGATCAACTTTTTACTCAGATATCAAGAACACATAAATTTCTGTTTGGGGAGGGGAGGGGGGGGGTGAGCAGGGGATTGCATGTCTACTAGTGGGACTGATGGACTCCAAAAGGTTAAAATAAAATGAAGAATGAAATTTGTTAAGTCTATAGCCTATATCAGAGACCAATTCATAATTCTTTCTGAAACTTCTCCGTGGCTCACATCTCAAACAATAGCCGGTAAAGACGTTGGTGATGAAGACCTAAGGCCAAAAAAAACTATGAACCAAACACCAACGGGGTCACATGCTTCATCTTTTTCAATCCTCAAAATCTCCAGCGTTTTCCAATAAATAATTGGCTGCCAACTCCTCATTGCGATCACAAGCCAAAAAGGCTTCAATTACGAGGTTTCTATCAAATCCCATTGCTTCAAGCTACAGATGCAAAAGCAATTAATTAGTTCAATTCTGGATAAAGGGAAGAAAGAAACAATCTACAGGAGAAAATGAGCACTTACACGTTCTATAGCTTCCTGCTCAGCAGGAGTGACATTAACAGCATGAGGCATGTCTTGCTCGGGCTGATCAAATATATCCCTGAAAAAGAATTCACGGTTCTGTCAATTTCTACAGTTTCCTTCAATTCCATACTCACCAAGCCATAATAAATTATACTTGGCAATAATGACAACAATAGGCCTTCCCCCAAAATAGATACTTTAAATCTTCTATTAGTTTTTAGTATTGGGGTAAACAATTTCTACAGAAACTCACGGAAGAAGTTTGAAAGGACCCAAAGTAAAAGCTAATGAGTGAAATTAAGAGCCTATTTGGTGTGGCTTGTGAGAGCTTTTGCTTTTTGAGTATTGTTATGAGTGATAAATTTAAATTTTTATTGGAAGAAAAATAAAGCTTTAGCTTTTAGAAAAGTGAAAAAGTAAGTGAAAAGTAAGTAAAAAGGGAGTTTATGAAAAGTTTGGATTTGAAACTTTTGAACTTTTACTGTTTAAGTGCTTTTTGAGGTTAAAAAAATATTTTAAAGTGTAAATTTTTTAGAGGGAAATTTAAATTCATGAGACATGAATAGTGTCCAAATGCTGAAGCTCCTAGGAGCTGATCCAAACAGGCCCTAAGAATAATGTGAAAACTTGCTAAGCTTTACATTCTATCTCAATAAAACAAGATAAGATATCTAATTAATGCCTCCATCAAACTTAAAATATGAACTCACACTTCAGAACCTTCAAGAGGTTCATTTATTAACTGAAGGAATTCTGGCTGATGCTCTTGAATCAGTCTTAAAAGCTGAGGGTTTTGCTTTCCAAGTTCCTGAAGCATAGGCTGCAAGTGACAAGCAGCAGCTCAAAATTCAGAACATAGAATTGAAGATTAGCTAGATTAGCTAAATAGCAAAAGAAATTACATACCTGTAAAATTTGTGGGTTTGATTGCACCATTGAACGCAAGGCTAGGAACTAAGATGCAAAAAAGAAAAATGTCAACGTCATTTCAATAAACAGTAATTTTCATGTCAAACATTTATGCATGCTCGCTTAGACTAAATTTCCTCAAAAGAACACTATAGTGTAATAGAAATTTATTCATGGCTCCTTGACATATGCCTAATATTACTTAAAATTGCAACATGTGATGAATGAAAATAAATAATAAACAATAGGACCAGAACTGACAGAGGCTGCCATGCAGAAAAGAACTAAACAGCCTGTTTAAGACATGGCAAGAGAGTACATGACAGGGACCTCACCTGCTGATTGGTTCTGAGGAAATCAAGGGATCCAAGCCCACCAGCACCAGCACCAGAAAGGGTTTCCTGGAAGAAATCCAGCACAGCACATTAAGAGTAAATAACAGTTCTCCAGTTAAAAGCAGAATAGAAATGTAACAGAAAGGAATGAAAGCTTACCTGAGGAAACATATTCAAAGGAGATGAATTAGGTGCCCCAGAAGCAGGAGCAGCATCCCCAGTTTCAGCTGTCTGACCAGCAGAGATATTGGCCACCGGCACAGCTACCTCTACTGTTTCCGGAATGCCCTAAAAATAAAAGAACATTGAAATAATTGAAGCTAACTTTTCAAAAAAATTCCAACTTGGGCCTTGTTCATAAAAGTTCCAAACATACACTGTATAGATAATCCACAGCTCGCTCGGGATTGTTATAAGCAGCTCGAAGTGCACGAGTTACTGTTTCTTTGTCCCAGTTTCCACCACCCATATCCATTATCTGTTGAATAGTCTGTTCAAGATTACTACCAGCAACTAAATTGGAGGCAGCTTGACTATAGGTATCACTTTGTGTACTGCAACAAGTCACAATAATTTTGTCAATGCTACATTCATAAGTTTCCAAATTTACCAAAGGAATAAAAATAGAGAGAACGTGTAGCATACAAATCCTTGCAAAGTCGAGAGACAGAAGGAAATGGGAGATAATAACTAAAACAGAAAGGAAAAAATATGCAGAAAATGAAACATAAAAGCATGTGTGCAGCTAAAAAGATATACATTACAAAGTTAGGACCTGAAGCTTGAATACCAGCTATAAAAAGACAAGAATCCACCTTCATCTAGATGGAAGTCTGTATCTACCACCAACAGCTAAGAGTTTTCTTGTTTCTAAATGCTTTCTACAAGTTGCCACATGACAGCAGGAAATATCTCTAGAATATCTAAATTACACCGCAAGCTCAAAGGAGTGTGCCGATTCATCTCTGGCAACCTAACTTGTGTTAAACATAACATGTACAAGCACAGAATTACAGACCTTTTAATTTTCTACTCATACTATCAATGGCTTAAAGATGATACCAGAAGACCTAGATAGATATTTCATTAATTAATTGAAAAGAACATCAACTTGTCAACTTTAAATGCTGCTATGAAATCTAGGCTATAAATTGTTTCATATAATGGAATAGCAACTAGTCAACCTCAGACAAGATGAAGGAAGAAAAGAAAAGGCATTGCTCTTTAAGCAGCAGGACATCTATGCTGATAGAAATAAAGTACCCCAGCAATATTATTTTGTGAAATGCTGCAATACAAAATAAACAGAAGGTTAAGTGAAGGGACAATAACTGCTATTCAGCATCAAACAAAACCCATCATGGTTCCACTGTCCAAACTACAAACTAAGCTTGTGCTTCAATGGTAGGAAAGAGTGAATCAAACTCAAGTTTTTTAATTTATTTCGTTTGTATGCCCATGGTTCTTTGCAGAAGATAGAACTAATGACAGAAAATTTCAATGCATAACCAACTATACAAAAAAAATAATAATAATAATAAATAAATAAATAAATAAATAAATCCCCAATCATAAATAAAAAGCACTCGAACGGAGGTTTCTAACATCAGTCCAACATGACATTATCATAGAATCATATGCTTTGAAAAGCAGTGAATCAACGTAACACAATTGTGAAGATAGAACTTACTTAGCAGTTGCAGCATCTGAAGCAGATGCAGAAGACTTTGAGACCCTACATGGCAAGTATTTATGATACATGTAAGGACACAACCAAACTCAAATCAATATGTGAAAAGAAAACTAAAAAAGAATGATAAACTTACGGTGCTTGTATTGCCACTTCTGTAGCAGGGGCAGTAGAAGCCGGTGCAGTTGTAGATGGAGTCACAGAAGCAATCTGTAATGCATAAGAGGAAGAAGTTATTCAAATAAAGCTGAGCAAATCAGAAAGTGATCCCCAACCAAACAACAACAACAACAGGTGAGAGTGAAAAACCTGGGCAGATGAGGCTCCAGATGAACCTATAGATTTGCTCTGTAACAATGGCCAATCAGTGAGAATATATAAGTAAATGCTAGACGAAGAGATAAAGAGATTATCCTATTCTAATATCATCCGGCCACAAAAACTTTTTAAGAGAAGAAAAAGAACGCTGAAGAGCAATTATTATCAAAATGGTGCTGCATTTTCATTTATCTTGAGTTTCCAAATAAACTAAATTGAGTTTTTCCAGCAAACAAAGATAGCTTGCTACCATCGCAAAATGACAGTTGATTTTAACAAGAACAATTTTCTCGGCATCACATTACAAACACCGCATCAAATTTTCTTGGCATATTTAGTTTTGCCAAATTTAGTATATTTTAAAGTAAAGCAATTAATATTCATGTTAATCTCATTACCCAGATCAACTACGTACCAACAAATTCAGCACACATACAACACTATGGTTCGTATCGCAGGAACCCAAAAATCAAATCATACTTTTTTTCACATATAACCTTGGCCTGAAGCTACAAACTTTTATCTACCCATTTCTGAATGAAATTTGACGGCAGTACAATCCTTTTCAAAAAAAAAAAAAAAACTTCCTGAAACAGAAAGAAGAAAAAAATTACCTTACTAAGCATGACAACAAGAAAACCATCCTCGGTGACCTTGTTATCTGCTAATGTGGTTTCATCTTTCAACACTTTGCCATTGTGAATTAGCAATTGCTGCCCACATGGGTAATTGTCTTTTCCTTGTACATCTTCAATATTTTTCTTCACAGCCATAATCTAAAAAATAATAAAAATAATAAACATATATATAAATATACAAAATTACTACAGCAAAATTAAGAGGAGAAGGAGAAGCACTCACAGTGTCGGTAGGCTGAACCCTAATTTCAAAATGGCTGCCTTTGAGGGTTTTTACGGTGAGCTTCATTTCCGCAAATTGGGTGAAGAGGAAGAGTGGGATGAGAATTGGGGAGAAACTGAAAGGAAGAACCCTAGAAAAAAATGATTTTGGGGATCGAGAAAGATTGAGAAGAGAAAACTTGAGATTGTATTGTGTTACAGGGAATTGAGGAGGGGGGTAAGGGTAATGCCAAGGTGCTAGATTTTGCTTCTTACACTGCACGTGACTAAACTGAAAGCTCGTCCTCGTACGTCTTGCGTAAAGCACGTGCATAAAATGGAATTATTTACCTTCTTATTTTTTCTCATGGATTCATTTTATTTTTCCTTTTGCCTTCTACATGGAATGTTTTTACTTAGATTTGTCTAAATCCACAAATCCCAGCTTAGAATTTACTGAGGTTGACCATAATGAAGGATTTCAAAGCAGATATATATTTTTTTTTTTTTGAACTTAGGGAATTTTGGGGGATGGGGATTAGTAGTGCCTGGGTATACAACCCAGGACTTCATGTCCTAACACCTCCCCTACAAGGGGAATGGCCACTAGGCCACTTTGTGTTGGACTCAAAGTAGATATTTTAATGCTTAAATTAATAGATGGTGATATAAAAATAATTTTTTTATCTCACTTTTTTATATAATTTTTCACATGTCATTAAATGAGTGAATATATTTAATATTATAGGTCTCATATGAATTAAAAGAATTAATCATTTTAATAATATATTAAGTTGTAAAAAGAGGTAAGATAAAATAGTTGTCCCAATAGCATTTTTCTAAATTAATAATAACTTAAGCAAAAGCTTTTTAAAGAGAAGGTAAATTTGCTAATAATATCTTAAATGAGAATTCTTTAAAGAAATGATAAAGATATTTGAGTTGAAATCATTTATAAAAAAGGTATTTAACTTATAAGTTTTGGTCAAAAGAACTTTTTACATGGTAACTACTAATTACATCTTTTGATCCACTTGCAACATCTTTTCATATGGTATTTATTAATTGTATATTTTAAATCAATTTATTTCTCTTTATATATGTAACTTATTGATTAGCCCTCTATATCTACTTGTAAAGTTTTGCATAAAGTTGTGCCTTTAAGTTTATTTGTTAAATTTAATAAGTATTGAGTTTATATCTCAATATTTTAAACTCAATTATTAATAAGGATAGCAATATGTCTTGACGAGGATGGAGACTCCTTTTCTATCCCCATCCATGTCAATGATGAGTATGGGAATTTTCACTAGAATTTTTGGTAGAGAACCAAAAATGGCATCATCCCCATACTCACAGGGAAAGATAGATCTCCACAAATATTTGAAGTTCTTGTCAAATATTAAATATATAAAATTTAATCCTTTTTTTATAAATAAAAAAAATTTAAAACAACTCAAACAAGTTAATACATTAATATATAGTATAGCAAAGCAATATTTAGTAATCAATTGTAGCAAATACATTTTGCTATACACACCTAACAAGTCTAACAACAAGTTCATAAAAAAAAGAAAAAAAAAGCATGAACTGTCATACATGTTCAAGTTAAATTGGGTTATTGAATTGAGTTTGAGAAAACTAAAACTAGAAAAGGAATTAGACTAAGTAATTTAGGTTAGATTAGGTTAACTAATTAAATTGGGTGAATAAAAATTAATTGGTAATATATTTTAAAATATATATATGTATATATTTTTATTATATATAAATCCATGAGACGAAGAAAATTTTCCACAGAATTTTATAAGAAAAAAAAAAAACTTTCATTCCCACCTTACAAAAAGAAATATTTTTAGAATTTTTATTTCTGTAATAAGAATTTTCGTAGAACTTTACTAGTTTTTGAGAAAATTACCAATCCTAGTTATTAATTTACAAAGAAAGCTCATTTTAGAGAAATCTATAAATACCCAATGACCACACATTAAAAACATTGCGAACTCTCTTACCTTAATCTCTCTACTTACCAAGATCTTGCCCCGAGTTTGTTTCGAATGTTGGTCACGAGCTTAGATTTGTACATCAACAATTTATTTAGATTATATGTCGATATTTAGCCGGTCGAAAGAAAACACTATTTATTCAGGTTGGTCTCCGTTTTTTAATGACTTTCAAGAGGCAGAAAAACCGAAATACCATGTTCCCATTTCCATTTCGAACTTAAGTAGAACAGCACACAGAACGCATGGTCTAACTTTTTACAGCACACCATAAAAAGCACTAGTAAGGTGCATCCCACATATACACAAGAGTAGGGTACTTTGACCCTCGGACCATATCAACATTCCAAATTGGATTTTGTGCGGACTTAGAATTCCCTGTCAGGGAACAGAACAGGAGCGACCAGAGACCATATATAGAGACCTGCAGTCGCCCACGCAGTTACGATCCGAACCCACACGGATGGCCACCCCACATCCACCAACTTCCCGCTCTCTCCAACTGAGGTTGACCACCCAGTCAATAGCATCGCTGAGTACATGCTTGCAAGTGAAAAGATGATGTGGAAGAAGGAATACGAGTATGTGACTGGCTTTGAACTCTCCTTCTCTTTCTCATCTGCCTTCTCCAATGGAAGCAAAGGTTTCCCTGCAATGTTAGATCCCAATTTAACAGCTTAGCTGCAGCAAGAAACAGCGGGGAAAATGCCAATCCCGAGTCACGCTGTAATAAGAGAGCTAAAATCGCAGCCCCCCATAAATCAGAGAGAATTGAAAGCCTTTTGTTGACATTACCTGCACGAGGTGAGCTAGGTGGTGAAAGCAGAGTTGTGGAAGACCCAGCACGGACAGCAGAATAGACAACTGAGAGAACAGTTGTAAGCAGACCAACTGTAAGGGTGCCAGTGGAAACTGCTTTAGAATGCCTATGAAGACCATTGCATTCATAATCTCTTGGTTCACTAGCAAGCCCACTGTAGCTGAGGTACATGCAATACAATGATATAACAGAAGCTGGCAAAATGCTGCCACTAATCTGTTTCACAGAAAACAAGAAGAGAAAAGAAACCACAAGGATATATTATCAGCAAAAAGAAAAGACAACTATATACCATGAACTAATCCATTTGAATATTACAAGACCTGATACTGATAAAGACTAAAAGAGTAAGTTAATTCTAGCCCCCAATAATAAAAATGAAAATCTAGTAATATGACAAGCCTGTCAGATACTCCGTCCTAAAAATATTTCAATTAGGTAAAAACACACCAAAGGGTATTACTCTACAGTGTTAATATTAAATTGATCAATTAATATTATTGTAAATTGGACTGAAGTATATTAAAATAACAATCCTTAACCCACCTCTAATATCAAACTCAGACAGAAATTCTGTTTCCAAAAAGAAATTTTCAGACTCAATTCAGAAAGATGTGTTAATTATGGACAGTTTAATTGAAGATGAACAAAGTATTTATTAGAATTGTCCAACCATCCCTTAGCTGCTAAAGAAAAGATGGTAAAACTATAATTCGGTTGGTAAACATAAACACCACAAGTAGAAAACTTACAGCAGGATGCAAAGCAACTATGGCAAAAACAAACACAAGAATCAGGGTCATGACGATGAAGAAGGTATTGAGCCCACAATCCTGTCCAGATGGTGTGAACCAGTGGAAGAGAAGTCCCGAGAAGGCAAATGTTGCCACATAACAAACAAGTGAAACAACAAACAAAGCAATGTACCTAGATAAAGAAGTAAAGGTCATAATATGCTTAATGATACAAAGAAGAGCTACAATAAGAAGAGCTACAATAAGAAGAAAGAATTCAAGAAAGAATACGCCTACCAAAATTGCTCATTATATCCCACCCATTTGTCATTCCATCCATGAACAAAGTCCAGTAAAAGCACAACTTGAACCAGAAGAAACAGTCCTGAGCCAAACTTTGATATAGACTCTACAAGTGTGAGATTTATAAAGTCAGTTCAGTAAAACAATCAGATGTGACTTTTTCAGATTTGACAGTGGGGGGATTTGAATCCATCTCTACCGGATGGGAGAATATGCACTTCATGGATTGAGGTACAAGTTTAGGTGCAATGAGATATGACTTTTAGAAACGAGATTAACTAAATATTTTAATTCTTTGTTTTCCCTTTCACTGATCTCCAATTGCCATCTACTTTTCTGCTTTTGTATCTATCAACTTTATTCTACCACTCATAACACTACAATAGTTAAGGACATATGCCTCTACTAACTGCCTAGGCAATGATCCAAACACTGGGTCAAAAAATGATACAGAACTATAAAAATCAAATGGTTAGAAACTACTCTCACACCATTGAGATTATGCAATGGCATCAAAATAAACGACAATGCAAACTCCACCAAGCGGCTCAATGGGCCGCGCGCCTCATTGAGGGAGGTGGAATGTTCACCCGATCTGGGGATCGAATCCCCAGTTGCTAATATCTAACAAAAACTAACCGGCTAACCATTGCTCTTATCCAAAAAAAAAAAAAAAAACCACAATGCAAATATCAATGCAATAGAACAATGAAGACTTTTACTTACCGTAGAAGCTGACAATCTCATTTGGAACAAAAAACATTAAAATAACCAAAAGGCACCAGCAGATTACTTTAGCCATCCATCCACCATGGTGCAAACCATCACGGGGATCCTTTTGGTTTTTCACACCCACCATTAAAATTGAAAGAATGGTGAAAAATAGAAAATTCCCAAGGCTAACCCGCAGCACAGCATCGGTTTCAAACCACTCCCTATCAGGTGTTTTATGAAAGTGATTGATCCCTGCACAGGCAACACATACAAGATTAGTTTAACTCTTAGACCCAGAACCCAATTTGTCCATAAACAATTAACAACTTCATGGTAATATATGAATTATGACGCCCCCAATCCATATAAGCAAGTTGTGCATGATCCAGAACAAGGGGGTAGAGTTACCAAACCACTCATTAAGTTTAATCATTTTAATCATCTTTGTACAAGTGACTAATTGATTAACAAAGGAACTTAATGAACCAGTTCAACACATAACATTAAAAAAAAAAAGTCATGGAGATCTAGTTTCAGTCAGGCATCAGCATGTTCTTCGAATTGCCTAAGATATCCAACATATAACTGTCAAAGAGAGAATATTTTTAATTGTATTTATCCATCAATCTAGCAAACATAATATCAATGCAACTTACAAGGGAGCTTCTCCATCAGAGGAGCGGCAACCTCTCTAAGAATCCACGAAACAATCAGAGAAAGCGCAAAGAGACCACAGTATGCAATCCTGGCAGACCGCCTACTGATTCCGGACACCACTGTACGGCAGGCATCGCAAGCGCAGGCCGCGCAGCACGAAGCAAGGCAGGAAGCAGCCCACATCTTCCTCAACCACAACAAACCCACCAATCAAAAGACGAAACTGTACAAACAGACAAACAAGTCAACACACAAACAAGCCTTTCACCTCCTCACCACCACAAGGCATGGAAAATTAACAGCAGAAAACCTAATCATCAAGTCCTACAAATTCCATTTTCCTGATCGCAACGGATAATTGAAAACAATTGGAGCAAAAAAAATCAGAAACCCTAATAATAATAACAATAACAGAATTAGCCGAACCTGAGAAATTGATGGAACGCGATGATGAAAGAGTAAGATCAACTAAAAGAATATAAGAAAAGGAGAAGAATTCCTCTTTTCAGTCAATATTTTTGGGTTGCGTTGTCTGCGGGATTTAATTTATGATTCCGGTATGTAATTCACCTTGGACGTTTGTTCGGCCGTTGAGTTGAGATCAACGGTGTATATTACTTTATATTTTTTTTAAAAATAATGTTTCTTTTTTTAATTTAGGCCAAGAGAAAAATAAATAAATTTATTTTGTGTGACACCTCGTGTATGCTTATTGGTTATATTAATATTTTATTTATTTATAGTTCTTTTAAAGTAGTTAGTTTTAATATTTAAAAGTATTATTTTTTAAATAATTAATTATGATATTTTAAAATATTAATTTATAAATTAATATTAATTTATGAAAATAGTACTTACATATTAGTCTCAATTTTTTAAAAAATGAAGTTTTAACTTATATTAGAA